TGGGAAGATCTCATCGAGTCGATGATACAGAAGGGTATACCGCCCTACCTGTTGCGGATAATGGATAATTATCTAAGCGACAGGTGGGTTATTTACGAGGGAGACACCTGCATTCTCAAGGAAGAGATGCAGCGTGGGGCCCCTCAAGGCTCGAGGGTAGGACCATTTTTATGGAATGTATCTTATGATGACTTCCTGAGAATGGACCTGCCCGAAGGTGCGGTGATCGTCGGCTTTGCGGACGACGCGTTGATCGTGTGCACTGCCGACTCGGCGGAAGCTCTGGGGACATTGGTGAACGAATGTCTGCGGCTAGCAAAATGCTGGCTGGAAACCAGAGGTCTTCAAATGGCCCTGGAAAAGACCGAAGCATTGCTGGTCACAGACAGACGTGGTTATAAATCCCCACGAATCGTGATAGACGAATTCGAGGTCAAGTGGAGGAGACAGATAAAGTACCTTGGTGTGGAACTGGATGGAAGGTTAAACTTCCATCACCACATGGCTACGGCGTCGAACAAGGCGATCGAATGTGCGGCTAATTTAGCACGGGTGATGCCAAATGTTGGAGGCCCCCGTGAAAAGAAAAGGAGACTGGTGGCGAGTGTCGCCCACGCTAAGCTGCTTTACGCAGCGCCAGCGTGGGCCCCCTCCCTGAGAACAAACAGATGTTCAACCATCTGTAAAAAGATGCTGTCCGCGCAGAGGTGCATTACTTCACGTATCGCCTCTGCTTATCGGACAGTATCTACGAGCGCTGTGCAGGTCCTTGCAAGTGTCCCGCCAGCAGATCTTTTGGCGCTTGAGAGGGAGGAAATTATCCTCCTTCTCAAAGAGGCGAATTCCTCTGAAGAGGAAGATCGACCCAGCAAGGACCGCATCCGCTTCGAAGCGAGGCACAGGCTCGTCGAAAAATGGCAACGAAGATGGGACGGGGAGGTAAAAGGTCGATGCACTTATCGCCTTATACCGACACTCGCCACTTGGTTAAGTAGGAACCATGGAGAGGTCTCCTATTACTTGACACAAGCGCTGACAGGTCACGGATGTTTCAATTCGTACCTGCAGCGCTTTAAGAAGAAAGAGAGTGAGGCGTGTGCTTACTGCCAGTTCCCTGTGGACAACGCAGAGCACACCCTCTTTGCCTGCAGTCAATGGGACTTGGAGAGGCAGGCCATGTTCACCGGTGTAAACACTACAGTTACACCGGAGAACATGGTAGCGCTGATGATCCAGTCCCAGGAAAACTGGCGGCTCATCGAGACCTTTATCATCTCTGTTATGATGAGAAAGGATCTCGATGGCCGCAGATAGGCGAGATCGACAGTATTCCATTTTATATTTATTTTATTTGTTTATTTTATTATTTATTTTGTCCTTTTATTGTCTTTTTACAATTTTGTGTTTATTTATTTATTTATTTTGTCTTTTATTGTCTTTTTACAATTTTCTGTTTATTTATTTATTTATTGTAGTCTTTTTACAGTTTTATGTTATATTTTGTTTGTTCATCTGTCTTTTTACAATTTTATTTTTGACTTGTTTAATTTATTTTTTATTTTATTTCTTGACTCTTTATTGTTTTCTTTTCTGGTGTGCTGTTGATTCCGCTTGACATAGATTTTAGTTTTTCATTTTAAAATTGATAACGCAGGATGTCCGCAGGAATGGACGAAGTCGCTTTGCGACAGAGTTGGAGCGCCACCCTCGAAGGCAAAAGTCTTCACGACAGTACCGAGGGTGGATAAAAGGGCTCCCAAGAAGGGTTGACGGGTTTTAGTGGGTCGGGGCTGGTAGTAGTTCGCCAGCTTATTTTGTTTATTGTTCTCCTTTTTTTTTTTTTACCAACCCCACATAACCTTGGCATGCGGAAGCCAAGGTATCTGTAAACAGATTTCCCAATAGTCCCTAAGCAGAAAAAAAAAAAAAAAAAAAAAAAAACTTAAAATCTTTTAAAAATAATATTAATTATCCATTTAATAAAATTGAAATAAATTAAAAAATTTAAAATAATAATTAGTATCTTCTTCCAAATTAATATTATTAATTTATCATAACGTATTCGTGGAAATCTTCCACGAATACAAATAATTAAAATCATAAAAATTAAAGTTTTAAAAACTACCCTTAAACTAAAATTATCTATAAAATAAAATAAAACAATTAAAAATCTTATTAATATAATTATACCATACTCTGATAAAAAAATTAATACAAATCCACCTCTTATATACTCAGTATTAAACCCTGAAACTAATTCTGATTCACCTTCTGCCAAATCAAAAGGTGTACGATTTAATTCTGCTAAAACTCTTACTAAAAATATTTATATAATTCATGCATAAAAAGTCCCACTTTTGATCCATGCAAAATGGACCAAAAAGCACGTTTTATAAAATAGGATGTTATAAATACAGTCGCGCATGCGCAGAATATTCAGAGTGACTTTTATTTCACTTTTTACTTTTATTTCATACTTTTATTGCACACTTTCTTTTGAACAACCAATCAGAAACGGTCTAGTCACTTGCTATCAATACGCCATCTGCTGAAGGAAAGGCGAACTTGAACGCATATGGTTGATTCAGTCCTACACGCCATTTTATCAGTTCCTCCAGTTATTAGTAGATTATTTCTCAGTGTTTAATTTTATCAAAATGGAAGAAAACAGTATTAATTCAACTCCATCAGACATAAAGGAAGCAGCGAGACAAATTACCGAAAATTTACTGCCTGAAAAATCGAAGGAACAGTATAAAGCATGCTACCTACAATTCACAGCGTGGCAAAGTGAAAAAAATACGACTTCAGTATCAGAGGAAACGATGCTTGTTTATTTTGAAGAATTATCAAAAAAATTCAAACCATCAAGCGTTTGGTCAAAATATTCTATGATAAGGAGTACCGTTTTGAACATTCGTCGTGTCGATATTAGTCAATATAAACAGTTGGCTGCTTTTCTGTCAAAAAACAGCAAAGGATTTGAAAGCAAAAAATCTCAAACTCTTCAACCTGATCAAGTCGAGCAATTTTTACGAGAAGCCTCGGACAATCAATATTTAGCTATAAAGGTATGTATTCTTAGATATTCCTAGCATTATATAATAGTAAAAATAAAAATTGGAATTAAAACATAACCTCTAAATCGAATATAATAATAAGAATAGATATTTTAAAACATTTAAAATTTTAACACTTTACAACATAACCTTTAAATAGTAAATAAACCATATAAAAAAATAAATTACATATAATAATCGTGAATATCTTTCGTTCATTCTGTCCACACCTGAAGTTAGTATTTGTTATAGGTCTTTTGTTTTTTTTAAACGTATTGTTTGACATTATTTTGTGTTGGTTAAAATTTTTCAATGTTTTTTTGGCATTGTTTCGATAATTAATTTTGAATCGAAATTTTAAAAAATAATTGAATTTTATTTTATTTTCAATTGAAAACTTGGTAAATAATTGAATTTTAAATTGAAAATTTGAAAATAATTTAATTTTAGTTGATTGTTGATTGAAAATTTGAAAATAATTAATTTTAGTTGATTGCTGATTGAAAATTTTGATAATAATTAATTTTGACTCGAAATTTTGGAAAATAATAAAATTTTAATTGAAATTTTGGATAATAATTTAATTTAAGTTGATTTTGGATTAAAATTTCGGGTAATAATTGAATTTTAATTGAAATTTTCGATAATAATTTAATTTAAGTTCATTTTTAATTGAAAATTTCGATAATTAATTTTGAATAAAAATTTTAAAAAATAATTGAATTTTATTTCATTTTAAATTGAAAACTTGGTAAATAATTGAATTTTAAATTGAAAATTTGAAAATAATTTAATTTTAGTTGATTGTTGATTGAAAATTTGAAAATAATTAATTTTAGTTGATTGCTGATTAAAAATTTTGATAATAATTAATTTTGACTCGAAATTTTGGATAATAATTTAATTTAAGTTGATGTTGAATTAAAATTTGGGGTAATATTTGAATTTTATTTAATTTTAAATTGAAAACTTGGTAAATAATTGAATTTTAAATTGAAAATTTGGAAAATAATTCAATTTTATATATAATTTAATATCGTATAATAATAATTTTCATTATTATCATTTAATATGAAATAATATTCTAATAAATTTAAATTATTATTGATAATATTAATCTTTAATTTCTTTATAACAAACAATTAAATATTCAATTTGGCGCGCTTGCGCGCGTTTAATATTGCTAGTTTAATTTTAATACTGTAAAAAATAATTTAATTTCAGGTGGCGTTAATACTTGGGATTGCTGGAGCATGCAGAATGGAGGAATTGAAAAATATAACGTTGCAAGATATCAAACATCAGGAAAATATGGTGCTTATCACAATTCCAAAAACAAAGACTTATGTTTCACGAAAATTTGTAGTGGAAGGAGAATTTTACGAAATTTTCAGGAAATATGAAGCATTGCGACCACAAAATTGTGTCTCCGATCGATTCTTCCTATCCATGCGAAACGGAAAATGCACCCAACAAGTAATCGGCATAAATACACTCGGAGCTATGCCCAAGGTAATAGCTGAATATTTACAACTTGAGGAACCTGAAAAGTACACAGGACACACTTTTCGTCGCACCTCTACAACGATATTAGCAGATTCTGGAGCCGACCTAATGACTTTAAAACGCCACGGAGGGTGGAAGTCGGATAAAGTCGCGATGGGATATGTGGAAGATTCAATTTTTAGTAGAAAAAAAATATGTAAACAGATATGTAGTTCTATAAACCTACAACCCTCCGTCTTATCAACTTCCGAGCCTGCTGTCAATGTACCTCAAGAAAACACTGAAAACAGCGTGAATTTTAATGCTGCAACGTCAAATGTGAATCAAGAAAAAGAAAATGCATCACTTGTGTCAAATATGTTGGAAGAAAGAAAAATTTGTCTCAATTTGAGCAACTGCCAAGTAACGTTTAATTTCACAAATAAATAATTTTGCTTAAGGCGTTTCCATTGAGAGACACGCAGATCTCATAACTTAAAATTTAGTCTTTTTAAACTAATTTTAAGAAAAAACTTTTATTTTTCGTTTTATGCTTATGAAAAGTTAATTCTTCCAAAAGCGTATTTCTTAATATATACAATAAGCATTTAAATATATTTGTAAGAACAGTAGATTTTTTTACGATTGACATTTGTAGAAAAAGTGAAGTATAGTCGTTATTTAGTTTTTAGCTTAAAGCAATCGTTACAGAAATAAAAAGCATATATATTTTCTTTTAAGTTAAAAGCTTTGTTAACGAAAATGGATAATTTCGCCAAAAATTCACGAAGTGTACTTTCTTTTACTTTTTTCTTCACTTATTCCATCAGAAAGTGAATTTTGTTTCTTCACTCAATTCTTGATTTAAGATTCGTTAAAAAGTGGACAAGTTGAGCCAAAAAGTGAAAATCTGATCTAAAGTTTCTTGTAATTAAATATTCTTCGTTTCTTTTGTTTTGTTTCAATAAATTTTCAAACATTATTTTGACTTTTTATGCATTTATTATATAATAGTGTATTTTGCTATGAACGCGATTTCGTTGCGGGGGGCTTCGCCCCCCGAAGATTCCAGGCGCTTGGGTATTGGTAACATGGCTTTCTTAAAATCGTAAGTAAATTTATTTTTATTGAGTAATATAATTCATCTTTTGAGCCCCTTTTTTTGTAGTCAGGGGGCTTCGCCCCCCGAACCCCCCCTAATAACGTTTGTATACTTGTTAGTGGTTCTGTGATCGAAACCTCCTGACACTCGTGCACTTTTTATGCATTTATTATATAAAATAGTATATGATACTATAATATAATTACACTTAAAAATCAAAATATTCAAATTTTATCTTGTATTTTAATAAAAATTTTTAAATCAAAACTTTCAATAAATATTAACCTACTTAATAAAAGTAAAATTAAACTAACTTCATATGAAATAGATTGAGAAACTGCCCGAATTCTTCCTAATATAGAATACATTGAATTAGAAGATCATCCTCTTAACATTATTATATAAACCCCTATACTTAAAAAACATAAAATAAGTAATATTCTAAAATTATTACAAAATAAATTATAAAAATTTGAAATTAACAATCATATTATTAATATTAACAAAAATCTAAAACAAGGTCTAAATAAATAAAATATATAATTTAAATTTTTAATTAAAAAAAACTCTTTACTTATTAACTTTACTGCATCTCTAAAAGGTTGTAAAATTCCTTTAATTAAAATTTTATTTGGCCCTTTACGAATCTGAATATACCCCAAAACCTTTCGTTCTAATAAAGTTAGAAAAGCTACCCCTACTAATACAACTAAAATTATAATTAAATTTCTTAAAACTATATCAAAAAATATTATAATAAACATATTTTAATAAAAATATTTTAATTTTTTAAATGAAACTTAAACTCATTGCACTAATCTGCCATATTAAATATAATTTATAAAAAAATCTATTCTTTTAACTTTGAAAATTAATAGTCTAATAACTTAAAATTATTATTAATATATTTCTATATATACTTAATTCCTAAAATTAATACACTAATCTGCCATAATAAATTAATTATACATATTAACTTTAAATTAATACTAAAAATATCAAAAATTTTTGTGCACTTAACACTTAAATATATATATATATATATATATAAATAATGGTAATAAAAATTTAATTTACATAATTTATTTAATCATAATAACCCTTTAATCAGGCATATCATTTAATTAATTACTTACTTAATCATTTATTTAATTAACCCCCCCCCAAAAAATGAATAAGTTTAAGCCAAACTATATATTTAAGTCGAAATTAAATCCTAATTTTTAGGTTTATTCAAGACCTAAACTCACCTTAAAGATCCCTCCTTCAATTCATAATAAGCCCCAACTAACAAAATTACTATAATAAAATAAAAAATAAATTTGAAACTCAAATCTTTTAATTTAAATAATTTTACTACTGGTAAAATTAGAGTAATTTCTAACTGGTCGAACATAAAAACTACTCTAATTTTGAAATTAATTGACAAATTGAATTGTACAGAGAATTTTTCAGCGCTCAAAAGTGTTTGCAAAGTAAGCATATCTCGGCATATTGTGGAAAAAATTTTGTTCGCAAAATTTACTAGGCAGGTAATTAATTGCAACTTTAATTGGATGAATGTTCGACCAGTTAGCTAAACAAAATAATTTAAATTAATTAATTAGAGTGATTAGCCATTTTTGGACGCCCTCTGGGGGTCAGATATTTTCTATTTTTCTACCTGAACAGAATGCAAAAGGTCCGATTCGATTCCATCGAGATGGTATAAAAATTTTTTCAATCGGTGCCCTCCGAGCCATCGGAGCTCTAATCCCACTGATATCACTGGCAATGATCGGAAGCACCGATTGAAAAAATTTTTTTACCATCTCGATGGAATCGAATCGGACCTTTTGCATTCTGTTCAGGTAGAAAAATAAAAAATATCTGACCCCCAGAGGCCGTCCAAAGATGGCTAATCACTCTAATTCATTAATTTAAATTATTTTGTTTAGCTAACTGGTCGAAGATTCACCCAATTAAAATTATACAAATCGCCTAACTTTAAAACCAATTTATCAATTTTCAATTTATATGTATTAATTACATAAAATATCTGTGATGTTTTTAATAAAATATTTAATGAAATCTCATTAATAAACTAAATAGTAAAAATAATAAAAAATAAAATATGTTAAGATTCAAAAAGATGTACATATGGAGAACATAACCTAAAATTTATTTTCGCGTTTATTTCATTTCATCGAGAAGCATCATTGTTCAAAGATGTTCAATCAAATATTTTTTAATTTAGCATCAGTAGAAGGAAGCATTTAATTAAATGAAAACCGCTAAAATAATCTGTGAACATAACCTACAATTCTTTTTGTCACATAAATGCATATAGATGAACAATTAATTATACCATTATTAATAATTATTTTAATTAATTGTATATAAATAATAGAATATATAGAATATAAATTTTTATTAATTTTATATATATTTCAACAATATTATTAACTAATTTTTCAATCGCCAATGTCTTTATTAATAAAAGATTGCCGTGAGAGTGGGGACCGTTTGCGTCCGCGGTCTGGCACCACTGCGGCTTCGAAAATCTATAGGCCTAAGCACAACTGCTTCGCAAACGCAAAGCATGAGTTTGAAAAGGACAGAGATATATTTGTGTCCTTTTCTGTCACATGCACCTCTTCACGAAGGACTTTCGCGAAGCTATTGTGCGTTGGGCTTAAGGCGGTTCCAGAATAGGTGCAACAAGTGCAAGTCCAAATGCAAATCCCATGAGTGCGAATCCCATGAGCCTTTATTCTGCGTTGGCCTAGAGTTAGATAGGACTACGTCCTTTGCTAAAATGTTATTTAAATCAAAAAAAGTTAAAAAAAAGTGGAAAGAGAAGGGGGAAAAAACGGCCTGACTTGAGATTCTGCCCATGGAATGTGTCTAGGGCTCAGGTTAATGTAGCTAGACGAAAATTGTGGTACAGTGACGCATTATCAAATTGGAGCTACCAGATATTTTGCGCAGACATACAACGAGTCGATTTTCGTGCAAGGAATAGGCAAGTACTTCGGAAGCAGGTTCCCAGCAAACACGTTCTATAATGTTCTATAACAATGAGGTCACAGTTTTACAGAACAATGTTATGTAGCTGTTCTGAAATTCTGTAATTCACTGTAACACTACTTGTAATATTAACTTGGGGCGGACATTTTAATATTACTGTAATGTCACTGCAATGTTACATTGTAATATTACTAACATTACATGTAACATTACAGTGACATTACAGTAATCTTTACGCAATTTTCACTAAACTTTGCAATTAAATATTGTGAACATTGTATTGTTGTTGTTGTTCATGATAATCTTCTAATTTTTAGCCAACCCTCGATCCCACTCTCCAACAGAACAAAGCAGGAAATCGTCAAGGAGGAGGAGGATGAGAATCAGTTACTTCAAGACAAATTGAAAAATCTTAAAATTGTATACGATTCACGGCAGAAATACGAAGCTTCAGTCAGAATAAATCATGAAGCAGCACGATTATTAAAAAATTTTAAAAATAATTATGTTTTACACATATCAGAAAAATTCAAAAACATATCGGCATTGAAACACGAAGAAATTTTAGAACTATATATGAAAAGCCCGACTTTGTTTTTCCAGAGTTGCCTTCGATATTTAACAAATCGGCAATTCATTGATTTGCACCAAACTTTCATGAAGTCAAAACTTATCTCAAATGCCCTTAGATGCCTATGGAATTTAAAAAACCCAGCACATAAATTAAAAATTACTAATGTTCTGATTGAAGTCTTTACTAGGGATGAAATTAATCGCAGACAAAAATGTGTAAAGGTATTTAAAATTTTCTTTAGCTGACTGGTCGAACAGTCACTTAATACAAAATGCAATTAATCACCAGCCTAGTAAGTTTTGCGAACAATATTTAGTAGTTTGCAAACACTTTTGAGCGCTGAAAAATCCTTTGCACAATTCAATTAGTCAATTAATTTCAAAATTAGTTTTGACGTCCGACCAGTTAGCTAAAATAAAAAAATAAAATTATAATTTTCGTAAATAATGGGGAATTATTTGCCCCACTTCAATTGAAAGAAATGATATTTTTCAACCAATTTGCGAATAAATAAATTTTTAAATAAATATTTCAAAGTTATTTTTTTTTAAACACAATTGAAGTGGGGCAAATAATTCCCGATTATTTAATTTAATTTTAGATTGAAGACTCGAAGAAACAAGACACAGCCCAACCCGAATCGAACCAGGATCATGTCCACCTGAATAAGACGAGCGCACCGGTAAGCTCGAGGACATTGAGAAGTGCTAAATCAAAAAAAATTAATTAGAATTAATTTTTATTTTAGCTAACTTGTCGGACGTAAAAACTTGTCTGATTTTTAAATTAATGGACTAATTGAATTGTGCAAAGGATTTTTCAGCGCTTAAAAGTGTTTGCAAACTACGCATATTGTGGAAAAAATTTTGTTCGCAAAATTTACTAGGCAGGTAATTAATTGCAACTTTAATTGGGTGAATATTCGACCAGTTAGCTAAACAACATAATTTAAATTAATTAATTAGATTGATTAGCCATCTTTGGACGGCCTCTAAGGGTCAGATATTTTTTATTTTTCTACCTGAACAGAATGCAAAAGGTCCTATTCGATTCCATCGAGATGGTATAAAAATTTTTTCAATCGGTGCCCTCCGAGCCATCGGAGCTCTAATCCCACTGATATGACTGGCAATGATCGGAAGCACCGATTGAAAAAATTTTTTTACCATCTCGATGGAATCGAATCGGACCTTTTGCATTCTGTTCAGGTAGAAAAATAAAAAATATCTGACCCCTAGAGGCCGTCCAAAGATGGCTAATCACTCTAATTAATTAATTTAAATTATTTTCTTTAGCAAACTGGTCGAAGATTCACCCAATTAAAGTTGCAATTAATTACCTGCCAAATAAATTTTGCGAACAAAATTTTTTCCACAATATGCGTAGTTTACAAATACTTTTGAGCGCTGAAAAATCCTTTTCACAATTCAATTAGTCAATTAATTTCAAAATTAGTTTTTACGTCCGCCCAGTTAGCTAAAATAAAAAAATAAAATTATAATTATAATATTATTATTTAATTTTAGATTGAAGACTCGAAGAAACAAGACACAGCCCAACCCGAATCGAAACAGGATCATGTCCACCTGAATAAGTCGAGCGCACCGGTAAGCTCGAGGACATTGAGAAGTGCAAAATCAAAAAAAATTAATTAGAATTAATTTTTATTTCAGCTAACTGAACTATTTTTCCTGAAAAAACTGAAAATAAACATACACAAGAAAAGATTTTGTCATTTCTAAAAATCAAAAAAAAAAAAAAGAGAAGTACCACATTAATGAGTATGTTAATTCAAGCTTACCCAGTACAAACATCTGCTCGAGTTAAATGAATACATTCTCGAATATTGGGAGAATCTCTCAAAAATGATGCAACCAAAGAATAAATTCAACTTCTTTTCAATCCGAGCCTTATCCAAGCGTAACGATCTTCGTTTAAGCCTGGAAGAAAACTGTTGCGCTGACCAAGAATTTTGTTGTTTGCAAAACCGAAATTTTCCTGAAGATGATGGATGTTTGGACGAAACGGAAAATTTAGGTAAAAATCCTATTAAATTCCTAGCTTCTTTCAATTCCTTAGATAATCGAGTCAGTTCGGTAATATAAAAAAATATCCACGCTAATTTACGAGGATCATTAGCTTGATATCTAACACGAGGAGCATTATCTAAACAAACAAAAATGGAAAAATTATCAATAAAAAAAAAAAAGAAAAAGAGGAGATTCATCTTATAAAATGTTTATCTCATATCCCCTCATTAAAAATTGCTGTCGATAATGCATTATC